CAGGAGGGGATCTTCTCTCGAATCTTTTTGTTGGGCAGGGATACGCCTAATCCCTCCTAACAGCCTCGAGAAAGAAGGGAAATCCAGTCCCGGAACGATCGCCAACTGTTTCCCCAACTTCTCAGACTGGGCGGACAACTCTCGCGTGGCCCACCGCGGTGGCGCCGCCGCAGAGCCGCCGACAGCATCAGCCGGTGCACAACTCCGTCGCCGATTAACCACCAGCACACGAATTGATGCCGCTTCCGCCACAAAGTCCCTAACACCTTGGTCAACCCGAGCGTTTGCTCGTTCACCAAAATCAATGGAATTCCCAATAATCTCATCGGTCATGGATAACAGCGGTTCTTCGCGTACCAGATCCGATGACGGGAGACAAAATCTCCATTCATGCAATTGAATCAATCTGCGTTTTTTCACAGAGATAGAGATAGAAGGATCATTTTCATACGAGTATTCTTGCATCCCACGGGTCAAACCTTGTTTCCGTTTCTTGAGAACCCGCTGCAGATTACACCCCCTCTGTTTGGGGCCTCGATGCAGTACAGGGATGCTTCCCAATTTCCATCGCGTTCCACTTTCCGCTCCATTACCACGATCAATTTTATGGGATCGTTGAGCTGACGCAACATTCTGATTAACCAGGCTGATCAAGAAAAAAGATGAAAGGATCTCCAGCAACCAATTCCCAAGCCAGCACGACCAGGCGAGGGGAGAGCGCCTCTCATCCCCAGAATTTTTTTTTTTTTTACGGCTTGTAAAATAATATTTATAGTTATTATAAAGCATTTTGTACTTGTATTGGAATTTGGAAGGTGATACTAACGAGTAACCAGGATATAGATAAGGGAAGAGATTTCCGTCGAAGAAAAAGAAAGACGAGGGATAAAAATAAATGTCGTCATTTTGGGATTCACATCGTTCATTCTCTCTCTTTCTCTGACTGGAACCAAACCCGCCGAGAAACGACTTCCACCACCAAAATCGTCACCGTGACTTCCTCTCCAGATTGGCCGACCATCAACTCCACCCTTGAACTCCACTCCTCCATACCTCAGTACCCGCAACCCCGACCACCGATAATCCATCGCTTAGCCTGTACTTTTTTAGTCCAGAAATTCCCAATCACGAACGGCGGACGGCGAGTCAAAGATTCCCGAGAAGTTTGACGATGGAGCTTGATTTGGAGTCCTCAATGGCATGGACCAATTTCAAGCCTCGTGTTTGCTAATACATCTGGAGGAACAGAGTGCTGCATGTCGACGGCGACGAATGAAAATGTGGGAGGGCAGTTGGGGAATCAAGCATCCTGCTTGGGCAGGCGAATTGACGAGTTCCATGAAAATCGCGCTCCATCCAAGGAAATTCGCGCTCCATGAAAATTAAAATTGCGAATTTCACCCGAGCTGAATAGAATCCGCGTTTTCACGCGTCAAAGCGGGAGCGTCGGAGCCGCAGTGACGAATTGTGTTACCTAACTCAGAACCAATAAAAATCTCGCCACATTTCAGACGGCTTAACTGATAAATATTTTTTTGTAACCCAAGTAACATTTTCTTTATTATTTTAAGTGAAACAAATAAAGGTGTATGTATGTTTCTTCTTTATGAAATAAACATAACTACACTTTGTCGTGACTGAATATAGACACGTAACACATAAAAAAAGAAATGCAACATACATAATTCGAAAACAAACAAATGCATGAGTAGTATACTCATGAAGAAAGACGCATTAATTCCGGGAACAATCAGAACTTGGACTGCATATAATTCACCGTCGCGACGTCCAAGGAGAAAGACTTGGCAAGGATGTCAGCACTGATCCCCGGCTGGGAACCAAACACCGCGTTGGCGATGGTAATGGCACCGGGGTTCTGGCTGGAGAGGGCCGCAATGGCGACGGCGGGCGCTTTCCAGTTGGTGTTGCGCTGGTAGTGGATGGTGTTGGAGGGGAAGACGAAGACGTCGCCTTTATACAAGGTCTTGGTGAAATGGTTGTTGTTTGGGTTGGAGGTGACGAACCCGACCTCGAGGCTGCCTTCGAGAACGGTGAGGATCTCGGTGGCGCGTGGGTGCGTGTGGGGTGGGTTCTGGCCGCCGGCTGCGTAGTCGATGCGGACCAAGGAGATTCCCAGCGTGTTGAGGCCGGGGAGCTGCGCGGCAAAGACCGGAGTGACCATGGAGCCTTGTGCGTTGCTGGTGTTGCCTGCCACGTGGAGGCCTCGGAAGTAGAAGTCGTTTGCGGTGACGGTGCTTGGGTTCTTGCAGGCCACGCCATTCAGCAATACTGTTATAAAGTTGGAGTTGTTAGAAGAAGGTCAATTATGAATTTTTTTTTTACGTACGTCGAGATCGAATAGTTAGACTGGAAAGTTATGCGTACCTGAACTGGTGGAATCTGCAACGCAGAAGTCTTGGAGATGGCCGGGATCAGAGGCCAAAGCAAGCTGAAGGGAGAGGAAGCTGAGAGCTACCATGAGGCCAAAGAAGAAGCTAGCAACTGAAGTCATGTCTGCGCTTAATGTTGAGCTAAGAAAAAAGAGTTGATGGAGAGATATATTGATTGGAGGTAGTGAGTCGTGGATATGTGAACTGCCACATCGCTTCCTTTATATAGATAAGATACGAGGAGAGAGCTGAAATTAGTAAGAGATGGAGATCGACTTGGGCCGGCGCGGGCCTTGGTATTGAAACGGCAATGGTGGGATTTGCGCGTGCAGATTGGAAGCAGCCAAGCCAATGGGGTTAATTTGGGAAATGGGTGGACGGGGTCTCGCCGGCTGGCAGTGTTTTAACATATACTACTTTGGCATTATCGAATCCGACCGGCCATGCCGAGTTCAGAACCCAGCTGGTATCGTTTTGTCAGCTTCCCTACCAGACGGTGATTAACTTTTTTTTGAAACCTCTTTCGTAGCTTTTTGGTGATTAACAGAGAAAAGTAGGCCCCAGATATATTTTGGCCATTGAAAATGGACAAAATGGAACAAAGACCAAGGCCCATGAGCAAAAAGAGACGTAACTGGTTCGACCGCCATAGCCCAATGGAACTGAATTTTGGGGCAGAAGCTCATAAGAAGTTTGGATGTGGAAATGTTATGCAGTATTTGGATCCAATTACTTTATTATGTGGTAATTGGGTTAAAAATCCATGTTTGGGAGAGAAAAAGGTATAGAAATTGGACCATGAAAATTGGCTTCAATTATCACATTCATGGTAATTGAGAATACTACACCTCCCCCTAATAATTTGACATTACCATGTTTTCTTTTTCTTTGTTCCAAATGTGCCCCTTTTCTCCTTCCTCTTCTTTCTTCCTTACTCCTTCCCCGATTTCTCCAACCTATTTCTTTCAAAAGTAGCCCCTTATTCTTCTTCATTCAACAATGGCGTCTTTTCTTCATCTCCCCTCACCTTCGCATATCTCCTCTCATCTGTCGTCAATTTCTTACTTTTGGATTCGCTTAATTATCTCATCCGCCGTCGATTCTCCTACTTCTCTTCATCGGATTCGCTTAATTGGAATGCCGACTAAGAGGAAAAAGCCGATGTAACAAAGGCAATTAGTAGTTAGCAGAACACAACAACAATCTTTAGGAGGGGTATGCATATAAAACAAAAGATAGCATTTTTGTATTATCACCAAATTCCACACCATATATTTCCACAAAAATAAATCATATCCAAACGTGGTATTTCGTTCAATTTCTGCAAGTCAATTTCTTGATTTTGTAAAACATGGAAATTCATCCAAATTCCCACGTTTTCAAATTTCCACATCCAAGTTTCAGCGCAAGTAGAATACATGATGATGACGACAGTCCAGCTCGCGTCACCGAACCCAACACCCTTCTACATAGGGCTGGCAAAACGGTTAAGCAGTTAACCGGTCGGTTTCAACTGAACCGACCGGTTTTTGGCTAACCGAAAACCGTCCATTAGTGTTGGCGGTCGGTTGGCGGAATAGAGGGGAAGATGCTCGGCTAGCCGATTAACCGTGGTCGAAAACCGGCGGTTAACCGGCTAATCGAACTCTTCCTCTTTACTCCAAAACGATCCCATCCCCCACCCAAAACGACCCCATCCCTAAATCCAAAACGACCCCCAACCTATGAAACTGAAACCCTAATCGGCTCCCAATCCCCACTCCCCCCAACCACCCCCCACCCCTTTCTCGCGCATGCGCAGGCGCAGCCACGGCCACCATCGCCGTCACCGCCCTTCACCAGTTCACCGACCACTCTCGCCGCCCCTCCCCCAGGCAACCCACCGTCTCCCTCCGCCTCCAACTGCCGCGCCGAACGCGTCTCCCGCCGTCTCCAATCGGCCTCCAATAGCCGCATCCAATCGTCGTCTCCAAACACCGTCTCCCGCGCGCGCCGCGCTGCCCCTCCAGGCTCCAAGCCTCCACCCGCCACGCCGCCCGTCGTCTCATGCCGCTTCCAACCGCCATAGCGCCGCCAACACCAGCAGAATCGAGAGAGAGAATCGAGGGAGGAGGCGATTTCGGGATCTCGGTGGCGGAGTTGTTTTTCGATTTTCCTTCCAGAGGAAGAAGAGAATCGAGAGAGAGAGTCTAGGAAGAAGAATCGAGAAAACGGAGGGGTTAGGTTAGGAGTGAGTGGTTCAGATTTTTTGTTGCTTTTAATTTTTTTTTTTTAGAAAAGACAGTTTCTGGTTTGCCGGCTAACCGAGTCGAAACCAGAAACCGGTCGGTTGGTTTGCGACAGCTCTGGTCGAGGTCTCGGTTTGACCGATAACCGACAATTCGATTTTCGGTTAAACCGAAACCGATCGAGTGACAGCCCTACTTCTACAAGCGCAGCGTCCTCTTGGCTCTTGCCAAGTGAAAGGAATTCTAATTCCAGAAAAATACATTTTACAAGAACCAACCTAACCAATAAAAAGGGATGATGCAAACACTTTTTTTTTTTTTTTTTTTTTGCATTCTCGCTTTTTTAAATCCCAAATGAGCTGACAGAGGTTATTCTAATTCTAATTCAAATCCAAATATATTCGCCAAGTGTATTGGATTTTCAACCTACCCAACAACCATGGAAGAACTCTTGTGCATGTTTATCGAGAGTTATAAATAGAATATTCAAAACACACACCTGAGATGATACAAGTTACAAGATAAACTTTGATCATCAGGTTAGCTAGCTACATAGTGATCTTGGGTCGGAATTCAAGGCCCTCAACGATGAGGCCGGCCTTGAAAAAGCTCCCATCCGTTTCCATCAAACTGCATAGTAATGTGTCATCGACACCGATGTCGTTGAAGAACTCTCCGATCTCAATCTCTAACCATCCATCTCCCCTTTCTTGGTATGGTTTAGGCACACCATCAGGAGGGTCGATTATCACGCACTTGCTCTCCGCCCCCTCTTCTCCACTCTTTTCCAACTGGACTCGTAGATCTATTGCCCTGTCGCTGAACCCGCGCCGCTCCCTGGAGAACTGGAAAACAAAGTAGGCTGCATAATTCGTCGCCGGCGACAACATTCTGCTCTCTATCCTGCCCTTGATATCAAACCACCACACATACTGCAGCTCCGCCACTTCCCCGAACCTGCCAAGTTTCATGTGTTAATGTATTCAGGGAACATGCAGTTTTAATTTGGTGCATGTCTGGAAATCCCTATTTTTTAACACTGGAAAGTACATCTGTACATGTAAGAAACATATACGGTTTGGAATTTTGGATATAATTCCATAACAAATAAAAATGTAATTCTATTTCGATTCTGAGTTTTATATATTATTGGAATTTTTGTAAGCAAACCATTTTCAATGTATATTTCTTAAGATACTACTACTAGTAACAATCCTGTCATGCAGAAAAACAAGAGCCTACTCAGTATGTACCCGTGATGGCAATTACCCGGTGGATAATTTTATCAAAATTCAAAAAAAACCTAGGGGTCATTTGGATTAAGAATTTATTTAAGGAGAGATTTTGCCCAAAATCACTCAATTAAAATACCTAGTATTTTAAACCCAGGTTTTGTGTTAAATATGTTGTTTGTTTATGAATGGGGATTTATTAGCTAGGGAATTTAATTCTGAATGCAATTGCAAAAATTACAGTCATATCCTTGACAAATAATCGTCGTCGACACTACGGGCTGGGCTCGTCGCCGGCCCTTATCCCCTTCTCTGTCACTGATAGAAATCGCCTAGCCTGCCCATAAAAAAACTTCGCCTAGCAGAAAGATCTGCTAACCCTGAAAGCTTGCTCGATTTGGAGCAGATGGCAACGACGACGACAAGATGATAGTGGATCCAGGTTCTTGCGAACCCATATCTGCCGGAAGAAAGGAAGACCCAGGGCGCAGGGGTACAAGAACACATCGATTTGCTAGCGATTAGGGTCCAATCGAACCTCCCCAGTCTTAACGCTCGATTAATTGGGTGTTGTTCACTGTACTTTGGATTCCAGATCTGAATCCTTCGCTGACCGGCGCAGGGGAAGAAGAGCAGAGGGCGGCGGAGGAAGAGGAGAAAGGAGATGAGTCGGCGTCGGCGTTTGTTGTTGCTCTGTTCGCGAGACGATTGGCGGATCTGACGGAGAGAGAAGAAGATGTCGTCGACGGTTGGAGCTTTCTTCACGAGACGGCGGGCGGATCTGGGGAGGGAGAAAAAGTCTGAACATCACTACTGATTGATATTGTATGATAAGGGTGGAAGAAGGGAGAGAGGGCGGAAGAAGGAAGAAGGGAGAAGAACCTCCGACGAGTTGTGAAGGAGGGAGAGAAGGGATAAAGCTTATCGATAGTGATGGGAAGACTGAGAGAGTGAGAGGTATGTCTGTGAAATTGTGTTAAGGATAGAATTGGAATAGCGAAAAATGAGTAGGGACATGTTGGACAAAAACGAAAAAATTGAGGCCGGATTTTAAAATAGCTGGGGGATGGAAGCTATTTCTAATTACGAGTTGGGCCGGATTTTAAAATTTCGAGTGGCCCAAATCTCGCATTATTTAAGAGCCACCCAAACAAGTAAATGGGTTATAATCCCGAACGGGCCGGGATTGTGGCCAAATCCCTCACCAGATTTTCGGATCCAAACGGGCCCCTATTGATTTTGAGAGGGTATGGGTAAAGTATATATGGAGTTGAGGTTTTGTAGCATAGTTTGAGTAGGATATGGGTATTGTCTCCATACTCTAAATGGGTATGAATGTCCATTTACTTGAGATTGTTTTAATCACACATACAAAAATTGGATATTTTCCTTTTAGCCAAGAGTTCCTTCGCCCTTCGGGCTCACAACTTCGTTATTGGGACTTATATGGCAAAAAATTATTTAGATACTAAATTCATCGATTTATTAACTACTTTAGATATCAAATTGTAATTTGCATATGTGTACAAATCTAAAATCTATGGATTAAAAAATCAGAATAAGTGGTTTTGGTCCATTGGATTAGCTATTGAGGTTGACTAGGCGGTCAACTTGCATGACTCAGCATTTTTCATAGCCCACTCAGCAATATCGTTTGATACATCATAAAAAGTCAGACGACATTAAGGAAGTCTGACAGGGAGAGACAATCGATGATTAACGGTAAATCGATCATAAAGATAATCACGAATAATAAAATAAAAAATTTCATGTGACAAATGCAAAAAATCTGTACAATTTAAGTGGTGAAATGTACAATTTGAGTGACTGAATAAGAGAACCGACCTCGACTCCGGCAAGCATGTCCAAATCCAGTAGGCAGGCGTGTTTCCCCATACGATTTCAAGTCCTCTGGCTCCTACCATATAGCATTTCTTCCCACTCTGTCTCTCCAATGCAAAGCTCTGTGCTTTCAGAAATGAAATTAGTGTGGTCTATTGCGAAATTAGATAACAGAAAGATTTGATGCAATCAAATCGGAAAAGATGAAAGAAGGAAAGATGAAACATTACCATGGTCTGATTGGTGAGTATGACTGGGTTGTGACAGAGATGGAGGTAGAGTTCCTTCGCGGAGAGCTCCGGCCAGGACTCGGAGCCGGAGAGGATATCCTCGTGATCGGACGGGAGGAAGCTCTTCCAGACGTAGTCAGAATCGGCGATTGATTGGAAGGAACGAGAAACCATGGAGGATCTGCAGGCGTCGGAAGGGGAAGTGAAGGTGATGATGTGGGCCAAACACTCCGCTGGCAAGCATTTGACGATATCTCTATCCCCGCCGTCGCCGTGGGTGGAGGAAGTCATCTTTCTTCTTCTTCTTCTTCTTCTTCTCTGCTGGCAAGCCGCTGCTGGCTTTGAGGTGGAAGATTACGTGGCGGTGGCGATCGAGTTCGAAGCCGGACTGCGTTAGCGATTCCTCGTCGTCGGTTAGGAAATGCGGCAACCAAGAGGGGTGCGAGAGTTTGCGGGAGGGTCAAAGAGGAGCTGCCTGGAAAATGGAATTGGAAGTTGACTTCATAACAATCAACCAGCACCTTAGCCTTAGAGCTCTCCTCAGATCTGATCAAACGGTTCCATCAACAGAAAGAAGAAAAAACTAATAATTTGGGGTTACAAAATCAAAAGGGTATCCTCAGTTACTCTAGGAAAGTATTTGTTTAGATGACCCACGACCGACTAATTTCATGTTATGACTAATTCTAATTTAGGTCAGAGACAGTCAAGTTGAAAATTTAGGGATTTAATAAGGTTTATAGTTTTGTAGTATTATAAAATCATAATGGATGGTGAAGATTAAGAAGAAAGTGATTTGATGGTCATTTTTGTAGAGGCGTAAGAAGATAAAGTAGGAATTTGGAGAGATGAGTGATCGAATTTTTGGAATAGCTGTAATTTTTAGGGGCTGGTGTGGATTCTCGAACTCCTTTTAAAGCACTTTTCAAAATTTCTACGAAAAAACAACGGAGCTTAGCTCATTCATTTTTACAACGAATTTCATAGAAAACAATAATTGACTGTTAAAATTGGTCGAAGCTCGTCAAAGTCGTTTGATCGTCAGATCATATAGAGTATAGTATACACCCATTGGGACTCAACGCCCTCGCTGGGGTTTGCCCCACAATCGTTCAAGAGAACCGCGAATAGGCTCTGATACCACTTGTAACATCTCAAACCTTTTTCTCGACAAGATATTGTCAACTTCGAGTCTAGACCCTCACGAATTTTGTTTTGGGTCACACATCTTTGCAGTGTTTCACAATGAGCACATTTAATTTCGGAGTTCTCTTAGAACTTTGTCATTTAGGTTAATGTTGTTTTCACTTTTTATTTTTATTTTTTTATCAATGATGAACTTTATTACCAAGAGAAAAAAGGAATTACAACACAAAAAAAGAACACCTTTACAAGCAAGAAGAAGAAAATGAGAAGAAAAAGAAAGAAAAAAAGGTTGGCAAAGCAATGCCTAAACACAAAGAGAAACAAACAAGAACCAGTATGGGAACTTCCAAGACTAGTGACAAACAACTAGAACTAACAAAAAGAGAAACAAAAACAATGGGATTGCCCTTGAACCTCAAGCCCCCAAACAACACCTATACATCAAGACAAAACCAAGAAACAAAACAAAAGAACAACCATCAACCATCCCCAATCCACATCCATTGTTGCAAGTGGATGAACTTGTGACACAAGTATATGGATGTCCAACGTCTGAAATAATTTTATATGCTCGAAGCCACCTCTCAACCATTTGGATGATCTTGTGACACAAGTATATGGGGGAAATTCAATATCTCTAAAAATCCTATTGTTTCTTTCGCACCAGAGTGACCAACACACTGCATGTGGCAAGACTTTAATACAATCTCTGAACTTAGGATCACACCTCAATCCTCTCCAAGCATGTAGGAAAGGCCGAACCTGAGCGGGAAACCATGCAGCTCTAAAGCTCTCGTGAAGAATTCCCAAACTATCCTTAAGAGTGAGCATGGAAACATAAGATGAGAAATTGAGTCCTTGTTGCTTTTACTCAAGGAACACCAATTTGTAATGATCATTCCTCTGCTTCTCAAGTTGTCAATGGTGGCAATTCTTGATAATGAGGTCATCCAAAGAAAGCAACAAATCTTCGAAGAGATGGAAAAGATCCATACGAGCTTGTAGGGGAAGGAGTTGTCACTTTCAAAAGAATCATCAATGAGGTGTTGTGTGAAGGAATGAACAGAGAAAATCGATGATCGCTCCAAGAGCTAAACCAAACGAGCTGGGCGGCACAAGTCCAACTATGCAGGAGTGAAGACAACAAATGCATCAAACAAACTCGTTTTCATACTTATGAACCATAAATTTCTCTCATCATTTATCGATATGAAATTCACCTAAAGTGTATAAAAAATACAATACAAAAATGCCTCTATTGAAATGCCAGTCAAAAACTCATGTCAAATGTCTGGTTTTTCAAAACTGAGTTAATTGATCCCAAATACCATATTTCTCAAGCGCATACACATTGCAACCAAAGGACAGTAACATTTTACAAAAATAGATACAAGTGATGTGTAGCTAAGTTTGGCAGACACCATGTCCAAAACTGCTTTAACAAACAATAGAAACCTCCTTCAATACGTTCACTAGGGTAGCTAGCTAGATATTGTTCTTGGGTCGGAATTCAATGCCGTCAACGATGAGGCCGACCTTAGCAAAACGCCCATCAGTTTCCATCAAACTGCAGAGTAAAGTACCATCATCACCAGTGTCATTGAAGAACTCTCCGATCTCAATCTCCAACCATCCATCTTCCCTCTCTTGGTAGGGTTTGGGCACACCATCAGCAGGGTCGAGAATCACGAGCTTCCTCCCCTGCTCTGCAATACTATCTTCCAAATGGACTCGTAGATCCATTGCCTTAGGGCTGAACCCCTTCCGATTCCGAGCAAACTTGAAAACCAAGTAGGCTGCATAATTCGTCGCCGGCGACAACATTCTGGTCCCTATCCTGCCCTTGATATCAAACCACCACACGTACCGCAGCTCTGCCACTTCCCGAAACCTGCCTAGTTTCATGTGTTAATTTTTGTTTCCAAATAAGACATTTGAACAAATTATCTCGTTTTGAGATATTGTGACATAAACTTAAACTCAAAATCTCATCCAAAACGGACCTTGACTCTGGTAAGTTAGTCCAAGTCCAGTAAGTAGGTGTGTCTCCCCATATGATTGCTAGTCCCCTGGCTCCTACCATGTAGCATTTCTTCCCACTCTGTCTCTCCAATGCGAAGCTCTGTGTTTTCAGGGCAGCAATTCGAATTTTTTTTTGTAGATCAGTGTGGTTTATTGCGGAATTAGACATCATTGAGCCGTCCTTTGATGAACCAGTGACAAATACAGTTGCAGTTCTGAAAATATGGCCATTCAATTGATTGCAATCAAATCGGGAAACAGAGGAAAGAAGTAGTGTTACCATGTTCTGATTGCTGTTGATTATTACAGGGTTGTCACAGAGACGGAGGTAGAGTTCCTTCTTTGACAAGGCGGAGAGCTCCGGCCAGGATGTGGTGCCGGAGAGGATGTCCTCGTGATCGGACGGAAGGAAGCTCTTCCAGACGTCGTCGGAGTCGGCGATGGATTGAAAGGAATGAGAAACGGCGGCGGATCTGCAGGCGTCGGCAGGGGAAGTTAAGGAGATGATCTGGGCCAAGCACTCTGCCGGCAAGCAGCTGATGATGTCTCTGTCTCCACCGTCCACGGGGGTAGTCATCGTTTCTTCTCCTTGCTCGTCGTCGGTTTAGTAAATGCGGCGAGTATGACGGCGGCGGGAGCCCTTGAAATTGGAGTTGGCCGGCGGTGATAAAACCAACTAACCAGCACGTTGTAGCTGTCCTTAGATCTAATTGATTGATTTAAAGGTATAAATAAATGGTGAAATTTTCTGTAAATCGATCAGTGTTGTTGTTTACTTCCGATTGAAGGTAGAGCCGTAGAGGAGAATCTTCTTTGGTCCAAACACGTTTCCCCTCTTTTTTTTATTCTTATTTATTCCTGTGCAATCGGATTATTCAAAAATGATTACTCTAATATAATTTCGTTGTTTGTTCTTCCTAAAATATTTCTCATGATGACTCACCCTGGACATGTGTTGAGGAACTAGTAATAACTCGTATTATGTTATTAGATGAAGTTTTGGTATGGTTTTCAATAAATTTTGAATCGATTTTGTTGGTGTAAATTCAACGAATTATAATTTGATGGGTTTTTACAATCTAACAAAGAGGGTAATAGATTTTGTGTGGTTTTATATATTAATTATCTGCACCAAATCTATTTGAATATGTGTTACAAATATGTTTTAGATTCTATCGTTTCAACACTTCGATCATTCATATCTCATAACTATTATGATTATATATAAGATTCGAATCTTGCTCATTTTTCTTTATTTTTACAAACAATGTCTTTACAAATTCTAAAAGTAACTTTGATATTCTAAAGAATTTTCTCATTATATCAAGAATTTTAGATATGATTGTTCAGGGTCCGTGCACATGGATTTTCTACGAACTGCATGCTTGTTGGTTTTTTATATGTCACATTACACTCATTTATATTTCAGGTATGAGAAAGATTTTGATTTTAAAACCAAAATTTAGAGATGGTACAAGGAAATCCGATCTTACCCAAACCCTAACAATTCATAGAGCTGCAAATCCTTCCATGGAATGATGTACTCGACAAACAACCAATGTTTTCGAAACTCAATCATACCGGTCAGTCTAACTAGAAATACCAGATATCCATACCCACATGTGAAACAGGTAGAAAATTAAAACCATGCCCATACCCGTTCGGGTTTCGGGTATCCACGGTTATCCATGAGTAATGATTTCTCATCATAACTCCAACCAATATGTTAATATTCACACGTATTCTCACATTACTTAAGAGGAAAAGTATGACAATAATTCACTAGAATGAAGAAAATTAATTAAAACAACACAATTTCATGAAAATCTTATATATATATATATATATGCTAAATATATAAAATATGTTAGAGAAATATAATGGTTATTTATAGACAAAAATACATATGTATGTGTATAATCCAACAACAATCCAACCACGATTTAGCCAAATCATCCACTTCTCTCAACATAATCAAGTTGTTCTCGATCGCGGTAAAAATCAGACTAACCCCCCCCCCCCCCCCCCCCCCCCCCATGGTGTTGCCCACCGTCGACCACTGTGTTCATAGGATTTCAAAATTCTGATCACCCGCAACTTCATGATTAAACCATGCCCAATTGCGGCAGTATAGAGGAGGGGGGTGCTGATGGAGGACCATGATGGCGGCAAGAAAGAGGTGATCGCCTGTCGGCGAAATCGTTTGGAGTGTAGCGGCGAAGGGAGTTTAGCCGCTTTGTTTTGACGAAGATGACTATTTAGGGATTTTAGGCTTTGTTTGTTTTGTCAATTTTAGTAATTGTATACCTTTTTTTAGTAAGAGTAATTGTATACTTTAAATTAGTGCGATAATAGTAAAATTAGTCCAATGTTTAGCCATTCAGTATTTTTAATGCATACCAGAAATACCTAATGCTTACCACTAATTTCGTAAAGCATACCAGAAACCTCTTAATCCAGACCACAAATTGCCTAAAACAGACCAAAAATTCCAAAAAGCAAACCACAAATATTTTTATAAACATACGAGAAACCCCC